TTAAAAACTGGAGGAGGGCATTTGCTTGGAGATGGTTGCATTATTTGACATCCTCATGTAGCTGCTGTGGAACAAATGGAAATGTTTACCACAGGGACAGTGGGGACCTTCTCTATGGGCTGGCAGCAGGACAAAAGGACAGCGAGAGCTTCCTGCTCCTTCTGCCAGCTTCCCTTGACCTCTCTGCTGAGGCACTAGACAGTGTTTGCTCTGCATGGACACATGAATGAATTCACCAGGGGTTTTGTGTTTCAGGGTATAAAGCATAGTGTTTAGTATCTTAGCAAATCAAGAATCAATTATCTGGGAGAATAAGCAGAAGGTTTTTTATGTCTAGGATAAATTAGTTTAAACGCTGACACAAGTCCTTATGGATTAAAGATGCACTTGGAAGCAGTGGAGTATATTTTAAAAATGCACTTGACATCATATACTGAAATGAAATTATTAATAGTTCAGTACATGGGTTTCATGTCTTAGGGGAACAACAGGGACTATTTTAGGGGAACAACAAGGTATTACCAATTTGTATGTAAATGCAGTTGATCTGATAGCATCATAAGGAAAAATATTGTCATGAAACATCTGGTTGGAAGCATGTTACTTACATATCGTCTTTGAGGATTCTGGACATGTAAGCTTTATTTCAACATTTTCTCTGGAAGATTTTGGTTGAATACATCTATATGGTCACAGTAGTAGTGGTGATGGTAATCACTATCTTGGGAGATATTTAAAAAGAGAATTAAAGCAAAGATAGTTCAAGCTGGTACTTCTTCAAACTCTATCCTTTCCCTACACAATATACACCTTTTATCTACTATTTAACATCACCTAGGCTGTATTATGCTAAGTTTACCCAGGTATTGTGAATTCTGTTTGTTTTAGCCACAGCACAATTTAAAACTATAAAACAATCTAAAATGACAGCTTCTCGTGAAATTTCATATACCATGAACCACTTTCACCTGTTTCTAAGAGCAGTATGACCCTAACTGGTCTTGTAGTTAAGGTTTTTTCCAGTAGCTAACAATGTGCAACCCCTCTGTTTAAAACAACCCCCCTGTTTAAAACAACCCCCCTTTTAAAGCATATTTATTGAGATATGTAATTGACATACAATAAATTACACTTGATTTAAGATGCACAATTTCATAATTTTTGACGTGTATATATCTGCGAAAGCACCCTTACAATCAAGGTAGTGAAATGTCCTTGTCAGCCCAAAGTTTCCTCTAGGTTAACGCTTCTTCCACCTCCACGGCACCCATCAGGCAAAAAATACTTTATATTCCTAAAAATTAGTTTGCATGTTCTACAGTTTTAAATGAGTGCAACGATACTATTTATACCATTTTTATTAGTCTGGTTTTTCAGCATAATTATTTTGTGATTTATCATTAAAGCATATGTTAATAGTTTGTTTCTTTTTTCTTTTTTCATTTTATATGTTTTTTACATCATTTTTCATTTTTGCACAATGTATGCGTTTTCATCTTGGTTATAGTCCCCATATAATTCTCACCCCCCTTGTTTTGATTCTAAGCCTATTTAATAGATACACCAGTTTGATTATCCATTCACTTGTTTAATAGTTGTTTGGGTTGTTTAATAGTTTCTGGCCACTATAAATAAAGCCATTATAAATCATCTGTAAATTTTCTCCCAGCTTGTAGCATGCATTTTCTGTCTCTTTATAACATTTATTGAAGTTTTTAATTTTGAGCAAGTCTAATTATCAATTTGTTCTTTATACGGTTATGCTTTGCTGTTGTGTTTAAATATGCTTTGTATAATCCAGGGTCACAAGATTCATTGTTTTATATTTTACATTTAGATCTGTGATTGATTTTGAGTTAATTTCATATATGGGCTCACGTATTGATTAAAGTTCATATTTTTGCTTATGGTTAAATAATTGTTTTTTGTTGAAAGACTATCTTTTTTTCCACTGAATTACTTTGTTGAAAATCAGTTGTCTCTGTGTGTATTTGCAGACTTTCTATTTTGTTCCATTAACCTATTCTGTCTTTATGTTAGTACCAAACTGCCTGGATTACTGTAGTTTTGTAAGTCTGGTTATCAGATAATGTTAGTCCTTCAACTTTGTTTATTCTTTTCAAAGTTTTTTATAGATTCTTCTAGATTCTTCAATTTTGAAATCAGTTTATCAGTTTCTACCAAGAAATCCTGTTGAGATTTTGTTTAACTGGAGTTTTATCAAATCTACAGGTCAATTTAAGGAGATATGAAGAATTTTTCAGTGGTTATAATGAAATTATTGTCTTAGAAATGGATTAAGGAGAATAAGGTGTGAGTTGTGCAATGTGCAGAGACTGGGGTAAAATTGTCTCCCAAGAGGTATGATGAAGGAGAGGTGGCCTTGCCTCGAAGGCAGAGTCAGGGAATGAATGACCATAGATGAACATATACTTTGTCAGAAAAATTCTCTCAAACGCCCCACCCCCCAAATGGTTGCATGGGTGGTTCTGGGAGCAGTAATTTCAAGCTTAAGTCAGAGGGAATTAGACCACTTCTTCTGGGAAAGAACTGCAAAGGCCAGTGGCTCAAGCTCACCATAATCAGGGAGTAGAGGAGGGACAACATGAACAGAAAAGGACCACTTCTAACACCTCATGGTGTTCATGTGTAATGAAGAGAGAAGAGAGCACAAGGCCTGGAAAGGATGTGATGCAGGGAGCAATTGCACAGGGTGGCCTCATGCTTTAATAATTGCTAGTTGCTGCAGTGATATAGTTCTCTGAAACAGTGAGTGTCATTTGTACATTTGAGTTGATTGTTGGTCTAGATGCCGAACTAGGGATGATTTTCTTCGTAAGAGAATATTTGAGAATCTCTAGAGATACTTTTATTGTCACAACTACTGGTTGGGGTGTGTTTTGTTCTGTATCATGGATACAAGCCAGGGATACTACTAACCATCCTAGAGTATACAGGACAACAGTTCATCCACCAACAAAGTCAGGAGTGCTGAAGTTGAAGAATCTTGTTCTAGAAAGGGAGGACTGGAAAAGAGGATGGAATGAGGGCAAGACTCATTTGTTGCTCTGAAACTATATATGCATTGTCTGGAGAACATAAACTCTTTGTGTAGTAACTATGGGAAATTACACTGGATGTTCAGGAATCTGGGGTTCTATGGAAATCTTTGGGCTTGTTTCCAGAAGATGCCTAAAAATGTTATCAAATAAGGCTAGTTTGACAATATAATGTCTTGGCTCACATAAATGCATGAAAAGTGAAACATTTGAATTCATTAACTTAGGAAGAAAATGATTGTTTGGACATGGAATTGCCCATATCTGAGTTTACCAATCAGAATACTTTTGATTGCAAGTGATAGTGTTACTAACTGAGAGCAGCTGAAAAATTAAGAAAAATTTACCAGGTCATATAATTAACAAATCCAGGCTTTAATGCAGGTGTTGTTCCAGAAACACAGTGTTGACAATAAGAACCTAGTTTCTCCTCTGCCCTACTGCAGGCTCCCTTTCTCACTTGTAAATGGCTGCCAAAATTTCCAGGGTTACTTTATTCTCATTCAGTCTCATGAGGAGAGTGTTTTTCTTCTCCTGCTATTATGGATTTCTCTTTCAAATTCATGTGTCCATATATGAATATGGTAATATTTATAGCATTCCTCTCAGTTTATTTCTGTGGTGTCCAGTATGGTAGCCATATTGGCTACAAAACTCTTAAAATGTGGCTATATTACATCAAAATTGTAATATGAAAAAGGAATGTGAAATGTGTCATTAATGTAGTTTATATGCTGAATTGGTATTATTTTAAGATATATTAGGTTAGATAAAAATATATTTTTTTTTTTTTTACATTTTTTTACAATTTATTTATTTATTTATACAAGCACTGGGTACAGTCAGAAGTGCGGGAGGGTGAGAGAATTCACCAGAGCCAGAGCGAGGAGCAGAGCAGGCAGAAGGACCGAAGCACACTGCTGAGGGGAGCAGCGGGCGGCAGGAGAGGTCTGCGCACCATGTGGGACCCTCCTCTGGTGGCCGGGGAGCAGCCAGGGATCGAACCGGTGCTGCAGAGGCGCGGGCAGCTTCGCAACCCAGCGCTCAACCGCTGCGCCACCGGGGAGGCCCTAGATAAAAATATATTATTAAAATACTTGTATCTCTTTCTTTAAAAATTCTGTAATGTGACTTCTAGAAAATTTAAACTGATTGTAATGCTCCATATTGTATTGTAATATTTCCATATTAAATTTCCATATTGTATTTCTGGTGGACAAATTAGGCTCAGATCATTCAGGAGCTCCTGGAAGTGGAGTGGGATCAGTTCCACCCAACCTCCATAGGTTTATGGTGGCTGATATACTTATCAGGAGAGAAATGATAAGGATATTGGGCAAGCAATCAAAATTGAACATTGCAGTGACTGGCCATAAGCAAAGAAGGGAATATTTACTTATTTGCTAATATTTTTTGAATTTTTGGAACTCCTGTTATTCTACTACCACTAATAAAAGTGAATAACTTTTTCTTAAGTGATTTTTGAATATTAAAAAATTAATATGATGCTATTAACTAGTGAAATGGCATAAAAATATCCTAAGATTAAGTGAATAAACCCCAATCCTTCCAATCCTTATCTCCACTCACACCCCTTGGTAGCCATTGTGAGGTTGATCCATATCCCTCCATTCCTTGCACATGGAAATGGATTTACATACCTTGTTTCATTGCATTTGTTATTGCTGTTTTAAGAGTGAACACTCATTCTTCGATTTGCTTTTCTTCTCAATCTTCTAAGTCAGCATGTAAGATTTATCTCATTCATTTAAATAATTATATTCAAATTTATATTACAGATAATTTTTTAAACCATTTACCCAATTATAGACATTCATGTGATTTCCAGTCCCCCCTCCTCCTCTACCCCACAATGAGCAATGCTGCAATAAATATCTTTGTACCTATATCCTTACATGCTGGTCCTTTTTTTTCCTATAGGATAGATTCCCAGAAGTGGAATTGCTTGGTCAAACGGTATGTGTATTTTTAATTTTAATAGATATTGCTAGATTATTTCCCCCAAAGGAACAGTAAATCACCTTTGCACATCAGAGTGCCCATTTCCTACATTCTCACCACCATTGAATGCCACTGCTCTTTTTAATTCTTGCCAGTCTTATTAACTATGAGCATTACTTTAATTTGCATTTCCTCCACTGCCATTGATGTTAAGTATGTTTTCATGTTTATTGTCCATTTGAATTTCTTTTTCCATTTCATATTCACTTTCACTTCTCGTTTTTCTTTTTGGTTGTGGTTTTCACATTTTCTGGGAGCTGTTATGTTTTAGATATGTTAATCCTTCCTTAATATGTATGCAAATGTATCTTTACAGTTTTTCTCTCTGTTTATGATGTCTTTTGCCAAATGAAGATTTTTAGTTATTATTTAATTAAATGTGTTTGTCTTTTTCTCTATTGTTTATGCGTTATGTGTCTTATTCAAGATGGTGTTTGTCCAGCCAAGGTCATGCAAATACTTTGTGAAATTTTCTCTCCATTTTTTTGAAACACTAAAATCTTACTCTAATTTTAGGTTTTGTGCATGATGTGAAGTAGGAGTCTATCATCCCTATTATCTATTTCTAAATAGATAACCAGTTACTTAAGTTCCAGTTTTATTACAGGAACTTTTATTTTTTATGCTATTGAAGTATTACCCATCTCATTTACAAGGATGCCATCTCTATCTACATCTTATTTCTGGACCATGTTCTGATCCCCATGTCTATTTCTGTGCCATCAGCACACTGTGGTCAATGCAGTGGCTTTCTGGTGGGTTGTAGTGTCTGGTAAGTGCTTTTCTGGCCTTCCATATTTTCCATGGTTGTTTTTAGCCATCTGTTATTTTCACATTGTTTGGGTATAATTAAATTTTAAAACATAAATTTGGGAAATGTTACCTTGTTTTGAATATGAAATTTCATGGAGCTCTGGTAAATAGAGAAAAAGGTGTAGTATTTCTTAGTGTGGGAATCTCTACTTGATGTTACTAATTGTAAAATTTCCTTAGTAAACTGAGAAAGGGTTATTTTTTTCAATGAATTTTAATTCTTTAGATGTGATTTTACTTTGTCTTTGTGATAATTCTACAATTATTCCAAATGCAAAATAGGGATACAGACATGGCATACTTCATTCAGTTCAAAAATTAAAGTTAAAGTTATTAAGATTTTCAATGGCTTATTTGTTTATATATCAAACTAAAAAGTGTATACATGTCTGTGGAGTGGTTGAAGGTTATGTAAATAAAATTTACAAACTACGACTACAACTGAAGTACATAATAAGCCAGGTATTTTGGCATTTTTCCTGATTTAGTTCTTCTAAACCTTAAACATTGTCAAAAATTATATGGACTTGGAAATTGTCACTCTTGAAACTTTGGGTTAAGTCCAATGTTTTTATGTATTTTTGACAAGTTTTTGACTTTAAATTTAATATGATATTAACTTAATTATATTTACCAGTATTCTTAATTGCTTTTTGGACACTTGAATTGTTGTTAAAGTAATAAATACCTTTGTGTTTTTCTAAAAGCATTTGAAATATTGGAGCTAAACACTAATGCTGCTTAGGATTAAAAATAGTAACATTGTCTCACAAATGAACACAGATACAAATGAACTTCAGACCTGTATTTTGCTTATAAAAATAAAGGTACAGTGCCATGTAGATTATACCCATGTTTACTTGGTTAATTAGAAAAAAACAGTGTGCTATATAGCCAAGAATGAAATAGTAAAATAATTATTACATTGTGATTATTATTTAATAACATACTTTTAAAATTGATATACTCCTATAGTTTTGACATGTCTATAAATATTAAAGATGATAATTTAGAAAATGGAGGAAATTAATTGATTTTTTAATGAATTAATATTTTATTGAAATAACATTGGTTTACAACACTGGATATGATTCAGAGTTATAGATTCACACCTCTTCAGATGTATTTTACCATACTGCACCCCACAGGGGATATTAAATTTTTATATGAAGAACAAAAAAAGACTTAGTAAAGTCAGAGTTACATTTAAGCCTTCTATTTGATTTAAAGCCATTTGTAAATGAAGTATAAATACAGTTTTTATGCTCTCTTCTAAAGAAGGTAATGCATAGTTACCTCCTGCTTCCACCCAGTACTTGTACCCAGAGAAGATGTAGTTGGCCTGGAGTGAAGACCCTCCTGTGCCTGGGCACCTAGTGGAAATTATAAATCAGCTGTAGTCTCGACCTCAGTACTTGTCTTTTCAGCTGTCAGGTCTTCATACCATTGAGCTGTGTGCTACATTTATTCAGATAAAGCCACTGGGTCAGTAGTCCACGACCCTTATTCTCTGTGTCTTAAAGAGGAATAGCTGCCTCTTCGGAGAAACCTACTGTGGGCTGGTGACATGTCCCATTTAACTGCCAGGTTAAGTGATGTCAAAAAACTACCTTTTCAAATGACATATTGAATTTAACCACTAGGTATTAATTCTCATGAATTTTTTGTAAATCTAAATATTTAAGTATCAGTCTTCATGAGTTTTCTGTTGTCCTTTCTAATATTCAAATTCTAGTAAATGAAATAAATATTTGCAAAAATGAAGTATGTAAAAGTCATAGGTCCCTTCTTGCATTGAATTTGTTAAAGGCCAGCCTGCTGTCTCTTAGAAAGGGGTTAGTTTGAAGTGTATGAATAGAGAATTTCAAAAGCAAACCTGTCAAATTGATAGTATTTTAAATATAATTGCAGGTGTATAAAGCGTTTCTCTTTAATGCCATTTTGAACGTTTTGTAAGAATGAGTAGAATATTCACAGGACAGAGGGTGCCTCAGTTCTGCAATTTAGAGCGGCACATGTTGCCCAGCCTTCAATTCATCTAACTAGGTCTCCACAACATCTGTTAAGGCCCCTTCATTTTCATCTTCTTAGACACCCAGCCTTGGAGCATAAGTTCACATTTGTAGGGACACTGTGACTGAACAAATATTTTCTTTAACATGGTGCTTTCGGAAGGGTCCTTTTATCTCCAGGATGGCTAGGTTCCTTGGATGTCTGAACAATGACGAATCTGAACGAGCTATTTCTACACCAGAACCCTGGGAGCTTAACGCACTTTGAAGTGGATTGCGCCCCATTGCGGGGCCACGATAAAAAGTGGGGTTTTTCATAGTCCTTGCATTGATGTTTGCAAAGCCAGATGGCTTTGTGAAATGAGCCCAAAAGCAGTACAACTGATTAAAAGAAATGCCAGGTAGTTGAAGGCTTTCGTACCCAATGCAAGCCTGGCAGAAAGAATTGTTCTCTTGGGTTACGTTAATACTAGGGCAATCTCAGTCTGCCATCTTTAGGGGTCAGCCAATGACAATTGTGACAGATGTTTGCAGCAGGATCCTTGTATATAAAGGCTGAAAAGGAAAAAAAAAATCTCTAGCCAGCCATCGAGAGAACTGACTTTGGAAATAAATGAGCTGGAGGGTAAAAGAAGTGCTTGGAGGGTTGTGAGTACTTTGCGAGGTTGTGGCTCACACACTTCAACTTATTCTCACTTTCTTGGTTCCTTTTTTATGGTGGTGCTAGATCTGAATTCTCCTGAAAACCCAGAGGTGTGCCTTAGCTTCACACCTCAGGGCAACTTTCTTCTCTACAGGGTATAAATGACTTTATCGAGGATGCTGTAACTCTTGCATTTTGGTTGCCAGTGAAGAAATCATTCTGCCTGTGTTTGTATCCCTGAGCACTGAACCTTAACCTAAGAACACAGTCATATATTTCAAGTTGGTTAGGAAGAGGAAACGATGAAACTTGGTCTTGTCGGTAGAAGGATTCAGAAATGTAGCAAATTGTTCCCTGGTTTCATAACCTACCATTTGATTATTGGGAAGTGGAGTTTGGAGCAGGAGGAAGAAAAGCTTATCTTCAGATGGGTTTTAAAAACCTGTCATAAAAGATGTAGCCGGTCCTGCATTAAGTTGCCTTCCCATCATCAAGAAACACTTTAATCCAGCAGTGTGGGCATTATGATAGTTTATGGACCCTACCATCTTGCTAGTCCATTTTCTCCCTATTGCCATCTCTAACAGAGTATCAGATCTGGAGCTGATTTGCTTGTGGAGTAGTGGCCTGGAAGGACCAGGCACCTGTGTCCTGTTGAAATAGCTAATTTCAGAAGAGTTGGTACAGTTTGACCCCCCCTTGAACTCCTATAGATCCTTTCAAAGACAGAAGTAATTCAAGCCTGGAGGCATTTCTAAGGATGTATTTGGAGAATAAATTTATATGTATATCCCTATCAGTGTGATCTATTTTTTTGAGGAATGAGGATTATAGTATTTTAATAATTCCAGATGTTAACATTTTTTTTTCTACAACTGTTAGCAATGTTTGTTTAGGTTCAGGGAAGCCTTTACTTTTTATGTGTAGGAAATCACCCTGAGGAACACATTTTAACATATTCCCATGGTCAACAATGCGATGCTATATTCATTTAGAGAATAGATTAGATTTTCTTTGTTTTGCTAACTTGGGGCTTTATAAGATTTCCCCCAAAACTAGCACTGCAGCCATTCTTAGCCAAGTTGTGATTTGTGGAGTGACTTATTGATTAGTGAGGATTTCGTGGAGTCCCACAGGACATGTCATTAGTGTAACCTCCTACAAACCATCCTGCTGGAATGCAAGCCTCTGAGGGTCGGGGAGTTTTCTTGCCTGCTGGATCCTCCATGCCTAATGCCATGTCTGTCATGTATCAGGGGTTCTATAAATATTTTTTTTAAATTTTTTTGAATTAAGGCATGTTTTATTTATTTATTTGTTTGTTTGTTTTATACAAGCACTGGGTACAGTCAGAAGCACGGGAGGGTGAGAGAATTCACCAGAGCCAGAGTGGGGAGCAGAGCAGGCAGAAGGACCGAAGTACACTGCTGAGGGGAGCAGCGGGCGGCAGGGGAGGTCTGCGCGCCATGTGGGACCCTCCTCCGGTG